GACCTAACATCTTTTGTGAGAAAATACCCAAAATTCCAGTTCCTTAGAAAATTCTTAGTATTAATATAAACACCAAAACAACAACAACAACAAAAGCAAATAAAGCAATGAAAGAACAGAACCAAAATTCACCAAGTCCTAAAAATAGACTCTGAAGCAAAATTTCTGAGATGCTTAATGAAGCCCTCTAGTGGCCACAGTGGGATTGCAGAGGAGTTCAATCTCTTGGACAAAACACAATTTTCCATGGTTTTACTCTTTGATAGGAAATCATTTTCTGAGCAGTGAAGTGCTGTCTAGGTTTAATAAACTCATGCAATGCTTCCACCAGAAGAAGATTTTGACTAGTTCATATTCTGTCTTTTGCGGTTTTGGTGTAGAGAAGGAACTATTTTTTTCTCATGTTGACCTAGACTAGGTCTTGTTTCAGAGTGTCTTGAAAAATATGCTAAGGATCTGCAGGCACATCTATCTCAAGCCAGCCTCAGTCCACATTACTCCCATCCCTCCACGACTCTTCTGGATGTGCCACACGGCCCTTGGAGCTTTTCAGAAAAGTGGGACAACATTTTAGCATGACAGACTCAGGCAGCCTCGATGCCAGGGCAGTTGCAGCTGCAGAAGTGCCGTCATCATGGCCATACCACGAAAGGTAACGTGTATCTTGACTTGGTCAAGAACCTTGAAGGAATTGGTGCAAGATAGAACAGCCATCTTGAAGCAGCAGGATCACTCATCCTCAGAAGTAACTCTTTCCATATGCCCCTTGCAAAGGAGTAAGATTTTCACTTATGACTCTATGAGATATGTCTTGATTCTACACTTCTGAGTAAAAAAGTCCAAGATTCCAAAGTCAAAAAGCATTACAATAGTCAGCAGTAATTGAAGGGTGTATTTTGTGATGTTTCCTGTTGACAAAACTGGCATAGTTGGCAGAAAATAACCCAGTTTCTCAAGGGGAACAAAAAGGGAAAAGGAAACACGGGGTTCACAGTAAAACTCCACATAAAAATTCACACACAAGTTAAATATTGGTTCTTGGGGATCACTGGACCATGTTCCCCTGTGAACTGAACTCTATCCCTGTGGAGAACCATTATCTGGTGTATAAGTGGTCACGAAATTGTTTTACTCCTTCCTTAGTTCAGTCAAACTGAAAGAAACAAAACAACAGTCTGTAGACAGCCAGAAGGTGTGATGTGGTGAAGGACAGCTGCACGTGAACTTCCCTGTAGCTGGTCAGAGTCTCCTTCCAGTCTCAGCTTTACCAGTCCAGCTTCAGGTCAGCCTTACTCCAAACATACTTCCCACCACGCTTCAGAAACATCTTCTCATCAAATCCACTGAATTTTATCGCTTCTTCCACGCCAACATCCAGGATGGACAGGGAAGGGTCCTTCCGGCCACCGGTACAGTTCAGAAAGCGCATCTGAAAAAAGCAAAGTAGAAATAAGTATATTTCCATATGGTTAATCCTATAAAACTCAACTGAGGATATCCTATAAAAAGTATTTCTGCCATCCCAAACATGGCCTATGTGTACTGAGATATAAGATAGACTCCAAAATCCTCAGACTCCATTCCCAACTCACACATTGTGCACCCATGCAGAGAGTGGCTTCAACATATGTAAGGGCCAAGTGTCATGAAGAGTACAGTCTTACTACCAGAGGACTTGACCCTTTCTTGGAGTGGAGAGGACATTAAGAACAGACTTTCTCTAAGTGTGGACATCTGAATCTCTTAGACCTGTGCATTGAGGTATCTGAGAGCACAGAGCAGAGCAGAATGTCTGTTTCCCTGTAAAGTGAAGAATCTCTGGTGAATGACCTCAGTAACATCGCAGCTTTGTGTGATGTGAATCCTCACCCAGCCTTCTCCTTAAATGAAGAGGGGATAAGAAAGAGGCGACCAAGGTGGGCAAAAACTGGGTCAAGGACAGAAGTCCTCCCAACACATCTTATCCATTAGACTCCCTCTGACTCTTTCCTTCCCAGCGTTGTAGGCAGGAACGAGGTCTTTGTACTTGTGTTTCTCTACCTTCTATAGGGCATCAGGTGGCACACACTGGATTGTAATGTCATCCAATTGGAAAATAAATTTTTTCATTCATGTTTGTTCTACGTAGAGATCATATGGTTTGCTGAAGAGCATTGTTCAAAATCTCCAGTCAATCATGACAGTTTATATTCTAAAATAACTCTCATTTTTTTTCTTTAGATCCATAACCTGAATGTTTCTCTGGTAACTTTCCCCCTTACACTGCATAAAACTCATGTTGACAATAAGTACAGCTGCTGTAACTTATCATTGATTAATTTGAAAATAACAAAACACAAGAGTTGTAACAAATGTTTCTCAAAAAGCCAAGGTCAATACTGTGCCCTTTGTTCTTTTTGTAGTTCATTAAAAAAAAATCCCACACACAGCCTAGAATGAATTGTCTGTCCTCTGGGGAATATCAGCAGAAGTTATAAATCCAAAAGTTCTAAATAACAACAACAAAGAAAAGGAAAGCAAGGATGATTTCATTCCTTTTAAAAGAAGGGCGGGTTTCCCTTTGGAAGCAATGGTCATGGAGATAACATTGGTGGTGTCTTAAGGGGACAATAAGACTTCCTCCCATTGTCAAGGTTCATCTGCAGTGCAGGTGTGGGCAGCCCCTTGAGTTATCCAAGACATCGTGGAGTGGAGGTGACAGTGTTGCTGTCATAGCGCAGCCCTCAAATCCACACAGCCCACAACTTTGGAGGGATCTACTGAGTGGGACATCCTTAGGACATCTGCAGAGGCATGGCTACCTGGGATATCATCTCATGGTGGCTAATGCCATTCCAGCCCAGGATAATGCCTAGGATGTGCAAAGAGGGAAGGTGGCATGTGAAGCCGGGCCAGTACCATGCTGACAGTAAACCAGCAGAGGAGCACTGGGCATAAGAGATGTTCTGAAGGAGCTCAGGTCAGCACATCTCCGGCACTGCTAGCTTTAAAGTGATTTTATAGCTCATGGGGAATACTCACATATTCATCCAGAATAAGGTAGGAGTCTTTCATCTGCAGTGGAGAAAAGAGTCAAACTTTAGTTTTCATCTAACACACATTGTTTATTTCGTATGTCTCACTGCAGTCCCTCCTATGGGGGTGTGTCTGTGCCTTGAATTTTTCTACTTCCCACATTCTCCATTTAAATGCAGGCCTGCAGAGTGGCCCCAGCAGTAGAGAACTGGCAGGGTGCAGTTCTTTCAGTCATTTTGTATTTTCTGCCTCAGACCAAAAGACTTTTACTCTGAGACCTGTTTTGAGCACAGGTTTCTTTTACTCTCGAGCCATTTCCAAGAGAGCTGTTGTCATCTCTCAGTCCCCACCATTCAAAGAACCTCCTAGGTTTTCAATATTCAAGTCACACTCTCTGCAGAGGACCGTGTTTCTGAAGTTCACAACATTGCTGTGACCTGGGCACTGCTGTGCTGTCTGTAGGGAGGTTTTGACATTTTTTTTCCTAATAAAGGCTAGGCAGCAAATAATAATAATTCTTTCTTCCTCCTGTTTCCTTCCTTCATTTTTTTCTTCTCCCCTCTCCATCTCCTTCTCCTGTTCTATTCCTCCTCCTTTTTGACAGGGCATCAGGTAGCCTAGGCTGACTTTGAACTCACTACATAGCCAAGGATATCCTTGAGGTTTTGGTCCTCCTGATATCACTTCCTGAATGCTAGCTTACAGATGTGCGGTGACAGTTTTCAGCTATGCTGGAGGATTAAATCCTGAACTGCCAGCAGTCATTATCCCAAGTAAGACACATTTCTAGGCCAGTGTTTATTTCTGGATATGCAGGGCACACAGTCTGTGTCCCCGTTGCTCTGCCCCACACCGTGGAAGTCACCACCACCCAAACCAACAGATGCAGAGATGCAGACCACAAGTAAAATAGTGAAAGAATGTAATGCAACCCTTCTCCTTGGCAAATATATATATATATATCTTGAGAACTAGCAAACCATTTCTTCTACATTTTATTGAACTTTTAAAATAATCACTAGAGAGGATGTAAGGGACATTTATAATGACACTGACAGTGACAAGGAAACAGTCACAACTTTTCTAAATGCTTGAACACTATTCACATGCTTCCCTGAAACTTGTAGAGTTTGTGTGTGTTACTTTTATATTGAGTTATACGTATGATTATACTTTTAATCACATCATCTCTGAGGTAGTCTAGTCAGAACCACTTTTGGGTAGAAAAGAAATTACTGTCATTGAAGAAACCCCACCCCCCAATGAAAGGTGTCCATGATGGACCTCCATCTCTTTGATTCTAGGATTGTATTCCACTCTCATTCTCCTTCCAGAATGTCTAGAATAACAAGATGGCAAACTGTAAAGCTCTCAGGACAGAAAGTGTAAGTATGTGGTAGTGAATGAGGCAGCTTTTGCTGTGTCTAACCTTCTGGTTAGATTCAGGCACCAAACAGGACACCTCTTTGTGACGCTCTAAGAAGGCTTCAAATTCTTCATTGCTGATAAGAAATCTTTCTGCTTCCCTCAGGGCATCTCCTCCTGAGTTCTCACCCTCGATTAGGAGGCACTGGAAAACCTGGAAGGGAATAAAGCATGTGTTAGGCCAAGAGTCTTACACTACCATTCACTACCAGTCTGCAGCAAACAGAAAACCCTTCCCAAGCAAGATCCTACCCAACTTAGGACTAGAGAGCTCAGAATACAACTGCTAGTCACTGCTAAGTCTGTGATGACTAACAATATAAGGCTCTGAGCCACAAGCGATGGAGCTAATGACGTAAAAATGCTTTCCCTTGGGACATTGCCTATATCAATATAGAGCCCACAGACATCAGAGGTTTCTAAGCAGGAACTGACCCTTACCACTGACAGCCGGATTCTTGAAATGACTTATTGGGAAGCTCAAGCGGGAGGTAGAAGATTATAGGGAAAGGCCATGAGAGAAAAACAATCCAAAGTAAGGAGGGAAAATGCATAGATGAATTTTAAGAATAAGAGGGTGAAGGGAGAAGAGTGAGAGGCATCAAGAGTCAGAGTAACCCTGAGGTGAGGGAGGGAAAAAATGAACAGTGTGACAGATGACTGGATGATGCAAGCCATAGTTCTCTGGGATCCTCTACCAGAGGTCACTGCCTCTCCATTGGTCAGGTCTGGCTCCTTCTACAATTCATCATTCTTTAGTTGTTTTCCTTTTTTTTTTCCTGTGCCTGAAGGTGTTACTGACATTTCAATTTTAATATATCTCTATTTTAAAATCTCTAAAGTATATAGCATGTTTTGCTTCCCCTAAATCTACTTCCAATTACATTACAGTCTCATCAAAGGAAAAACAATATCATCTCTTTATCCCCACTGTGTGGCTCACTATATAAAGATGGTCAAAGGTGACTTGAAATGTCAGCTTTCCATGGGTGAGCATGACACTGAACTAGCTGGGACCCTCTTGCCTGGGTTAGTCCATATGAGGAAATTCTTCCTTGCTTTCAAAATACAGTCAACCGCAGCTTCTTCTACTAAGTTTTGCAATTCAGTATGGTATGCCACTATGTTCCCATGTTCTCCACACACAAATGTCATGGAACATGAGTACTTCATGTTATAGTCCTTGCCAATACTCAGTTCCCAAATCTTATCCTTAGGTGTGTCTACTCTGTCTCCAGGCAGAGATTCAAAGGAACTACACAGGAGTCACCATGTGGCTTGGTAAGAATGTATGCCTATGACAACTCTCCCGCCCAGGCCTGTCCTTGTTAGGTATAGTGGTAGGGAGACGTTCAAGAAGCTGCCTTCTTAGCAAGCCTCTTTGATGTGTAGGTGTAGAAAATTTGAATTTGCAGTGATCTCCCCATGTATTGTGGGTGCTATGAAAGACTGGCTTGTATCTTTGTGAGCCTGAGACTTCCAGTGGCTGCTAACTGGGCCAGTTATAAGGAATGCATTTTGAAATAAAGACTGGCAGTGCTTTATAGACTCCTCTGTCACCAAGTAATTCAACGCAAAGTTACAAGCATTGAAATTTAAAAGGAACATCTAGCCCTATCCATACACAAGCCAGGAGTGGGAAAATGTTATTATTATTACTTTTTAATATTAGTATTATTAAACTTAATCTTCAGAACATCTCCAATCACTCAACATGGCCTTGACCTTTACTCTCAGACAAGTCCTGAAGGAAATTATTTCAAGATTTTGCAAACAGAATATGAGACAAAGCATAGTGAGGCTGTAAGCCCAACAGAGAGAAGAGTCAAGGTCCTGGCTAGAAACCCCAGAATCCTCCGTGTTCTTGTTGTTTTCAGTGTCACTGAACCAAGCTTCTCTTGAGTGTTTTGTGGATTAAAGTCAAGCATGTTTCAGGGTGGACTTACCTTCCAGCGCACAGGGCTCAGAGCCTTGATGTGTTCATTCATGTCTTCGTCCACGTTGAAGCGATTAATGACGGAATTGATCTTAAACGCCACCTTGTAATCCCTGCACCACCTCCTCAGCTTTTGAAGGTTTTCCACATGGTTCTTTTTTCCTTGGCCACGACCAATCAGAACATTAACCTGCTCATCGAAGCTGTCACAGGAGATAGCAAGAATGTCCAAATAGTCTCCTGCAGGAAAATGATAATCAAAATAATTTAAAAAAATTCTTCCTGAGTCCTTGATTTCATATATGTCTCATTACAGTAAGGCCCACTGTCTTCCCAGCGGTGTTTCAATGAATTTTGTGATTCCCTGTCTCATACACATGAAAGTCAGAGATGTGAATTACAGGTGGTATGTATACTATTATTAAAATACATACATGCCTACTGAAAGCACAGAGCTCCTTAATGTGATCAGTTTTAAACTCTGCATACATGCATATGCATGAAGAATCAATGGCATATTTAATCAGATTTTCCACTTGTTCCATCATTGAGATTATACAAATTATGAAACCTATTTCTATTAATTGCAAATTTGCTTTACCCATTACACATACAAAATTGTTTCATAGGTAATAAATATCTAGTATTTTCCCAGGGCTCATGGGCTTCCTTTTGACATGCCTTTTATCATACCTTACTTGCTACATTTTATGTACTATGCAAATATTTACAGACACTCTGTGCTATGTCAGGTGCAACTAATCTAGAGGCTGAGAAAACCCAGATAAAGGGGAGCTGGGTGTGGGAACCAGGGTTCAACCAGGCCTCACCCTGCTCAGTCACTCATTAAGAGGTCTAGGGAGTCATTTGAAGAGCTCAGAAAATACTGAAAATTGTCTTGGTTTTCGGCTCTCTTTACTGGTTTCTGCAGCTTCAGTTTTGCCTCTGTTTCCTGTGACCTCTCTCTCTCTCTTCCTGCCCTGCTCCCCGACTTCCCCTGCCTGAGAACAGCAGCATCCTCAGGTTGAGATCGTCCTTGCAGATGATCTAACTTGAGCTCACCAGGTCACTGAGAATTTCCAAACTTCTCTATTTTATCTTAAAAATTCTTTTCGCATTATAGAAGCTAAGAGTTCTAACATTTCGTTTAAACACTATTCTCTGTATTCAATATTCTCTATAGTCATGAAAAGACTAATTTTAGCTCCTATTCAAGGCTTAATTCCTCTTGCCTATATTTCATAAGCACAAACCAGAGCCAGAATAAGGTTATTACTTAAAACAACTCAACATGTTTCAAAAATTGACCTCAAGTAAATTCCTAAAGGCATATCAAACCAGGACGAGACAACTGTACATATAGTTTCTAAGAAAACCAAGGGAAAACTGAAGTTCAAAAACCAAACATAAAAACCAGTTTCTTCCAGGAGTGCCTTGGCTGACTAATATATAAAAGCACACTGAGCATGTGTGAGTCCATCGCTGTATCCTGACACCTCTCTCCCTACCTTCGGCTGTGTTTTTGCGATGTCCCCTCCTCCTGGTACAACACTTGGGAGGAATGGTTTGACAGAGCCCATCTGTTTGCTCAGTCCCTGTGTTTTCCCAGAAGATTAGAGGCTTTCAGGGGGTACTGTGTCTTTTCTGAATATACTGCTGCTGCTGTTGCAGAATGATGAGTGTAAGCTCCAGCCATGGGGTCGTGTGTTAGGATTTTTTAAACACAAGTGGAATGTGTTTGGCAATATTGTTGGGGTCCTCTTGGCTATGCACTTAACAAAATGTGCCTAAGTGACCAGCACTGTATGCCCCTCTCTGATCCATGACCCAAGTAAGTCTCCTGTGTGAAGGCAACCCAAACATTATCTGAGGTTCACTGCTAGGAAGAAAGGAGAACTTGTACAGGGTCAGTTAGAGATTGGCTCAGGAGCAGAAGTCCTTTCTGGACACAGTGATTCACATCTGTGTCCTGCTGTATATTTCTGTGCATTTGCGTTCACCAAAAGAGTCTTGGCAAACTCCTAACTTGGAGTTCTAAGGCTCTGACCAGCTTTTTTGTAAGGCCCTGACCAGCTTTTTTGTAAGGCTCTGACCAGCTTTTCCTTATGCACATAGATCCAACTTCAAGTTATTTGCAGACATTTTTAGTTGGCATATTAAACACAGAATATGGTTTTATGTCTCCTGGATAATTGGAGGATATGGCACACTTCCATCTAGTATAAAAGTCAATTGGCATTTGTCATTGGCAGCCATCCGGCTACTATGAAGACAGCATTGTATTTGGCCTTTGCAGTCTATGTGTTCCTCTCTAGGCAATGATGCTGGGTCACATCACCATTTCTGAGCAGCCGGTCTCTGACACTGGACTGCAGTGATTCTCCTGTTCACACTCCTTGCCACAGGGACAGATATTTTGAGCCGATCCTAGAAGAAGGGTACTGTCCAGGTACATCCTCTAAAATACAGTCCACTGCTCCCTCTTCACGCTGCTTCTGTTGTCTCCTTTGCACCTCCCCATGGTCTCCACCCAGTGCCTCCCTTCACAGATGTCTGGTTTAATGTACTACTCCAGCTTCCTCCCTGAACCACTGTCCCTGCTTCTAAATATCCTCCTTGCCCGCACAAACTTGATAGACAATCTCAACCACAAGCACCACCCATGTCTGCAGGCAGCCCTGCAAATGCATCCTGTGAGCTTATCTGGTCAGTGTCTTCAATCCAAAGTGACAGACTTCTCTTTGAATGACATCAGAGCTCCAAAGGGTCATGAAGCAAGGGCAGAGAAAGAGACCCTGAGGGGAGATTATAAACGTCTGCCATACTGAAAGTAGTCATAACTACTGCACAGTGTTTTAACAGCGGCACCGTGTCATGGATTGCTCCAAAAAAAACTATGAACATGGACAACTTTGGACGAACATTGGGATTCTCAAATAATCTTAAGAGCCCCTTAATTCAGGCAGACCATGTACTGTGAGCTTCTTATGTGGTTAGATTTACAATCAGCTTAGTCCTAACAGAGTTTTAAGGGGGAGGGGGTGTCTTACTAGATATAGATATAAAAATCAGGCTGGCATTGAACTCAGAGATTCATTTGTCTCTGCCTCCTGAGTTCTTGGATCAGAGGCATTTACTACCCTGCCCTGTCTCTAACACAGACATTTTTAAGGCTATAGAGTGCGCTGATTTTTTTTTTTTTTTTAGTAATAGCTAAGCTTAGACATTAGTTATCTGTGCAGGCTGTATTAGAAGGCGTAGCAAAGATCTGTGTGCTGACATGCTCTGCTATCTGCTTTCCAATACCTGTTTATTTAGCACCCAAACAGAAACAAAATAAGCTAGCTCCGCACACAGATTATACATACATAGGAGGTACTAGAATAAACAGGAACAGACTATATTTTCTTCCTTCCTAGTTTCCCAGATGCACAGGCCTGGAGCTTAGTGGAAAGAAACATAGAGGTCAACAGTACAAGTTGCAGTGACCAAGTTGTCATCCAAGAAAACTTACCATAGTCCTTGAACCATCGCTCCCGGATCAGGCTGCCATTGCTCACAATGCTCACAGAGGGCAGGGCCAGCTCCTCCTTGCAGAATCTCACAAGCTTGCCCAAGTATTCACCCCTATCCTGTAGGAAGGGTTCTCCTCCTGAAAAGTTGATCTTCTCCATACCTGTGAGGGGAAAAAATCTGTATTTTTGCACTTTCTAAACACCTATATAATTATATATATATATACAATATATATTATATTTTCAAGCACTATTTATTATTGGTTTATGGGGCTGGAGAGATAGCCTAGATTGTTCCCAGCAACCACCTTGAACAGCTCACAGTTCCCTCCAGGGGATCCTATGCCTCTGGTAACATCAACAAATGCATGTATGCACGTACATACATACATACATCTCTCTCTCTCTCTCTCTCTCTCTCTCTCTGTGTGTGTGTGTGTGTGTGTGTGTGTGCTATGAGCTCATAACAGCTCTGATGTCAGGGGTCAGAATCTGCTTCTGTCAAATAGCAAAGGCTTCGACGAGTTCATTGGCAGGTGAATCCAAAAGCTGCATTTTAACCAGACACCATGCTTTCAGTTAAGAAAGCAAAGACTGTGGCTACTAAATTCCTGGTGATAAAAGACTAGACCTTGATGTAGGTCCAGTGAGATAACAAAACTATGGTCTTTACTGTGGTAATGAGCCAGTATGGATTTGAGCTGAGTGAGACAGATCCTACAGAGTGGTGCTATGTACTGTATGATTTCATTATCACAGCACAGAACCAGGTGAGTCTGACGTGAGCATCAGAAATCCAGTTGGCAGTCTCCATGGTGTCAGTGTGGTGGCTGTAGGCCAGAGTGTACCTGGAGCACTGGCCAATGATTTTTCTCTTTTCCCAGCTGTGCTCCAGGGAGAATTCTTGGTAGAGTGAGTCATCTGGAAGTGCAGCTAGCATGCTTGCTGCCCAGACACATCTGCTGTGCTTCAGTTAAAGGGTAATCAGAAAGAGTCTCTAGGTGAGCAGGTACTCTAGAAAGAGTAGGGCAGAAGGGAGGGAAGGAGGAAGGGGAGGTTTGGAGGAGAAGCTGCTGCATTTGAATTTCACTGCTGAATTTACACTTGAGACTGACTAGTGGAGTGGGACAGCAAGTCTTGGGAGAAAAATCTCATGACATGCCTGTCAAAAAAATATTTTAAGGCTCACATGAGGCTGGAGAGGAGGCTCAGTATGCAATACACTTGCTGTACAACTCTGAGTACTTGTGTCTGGATCCCCAACACCCAAGTAAACCTGAACATGGTAGTGAGAGTTTGTAGTGCCGTCCTTCCTCCTTCCAGATAGGAGGAAAGACAGGAGAATCTGCAAGGCTTAAATGTTAAGCAACGTTGCACATCAGCAGCAAACCAAAGAGAAACCCTGTCTCAAACAAGGTTTGACAAGGCTAAGACTGAACTAACATCTGAAATGTCCTATGATGTTAGCAGGCTTGCTGTGTCCAGCAGGTGACCAGACTAAGACACATACACATGCATATACAAACACACACACACACACACACACACACACACTCCATATGTACACACAGATTGTTTTTTTAAAGGGAGAGAAGGTTCCAGCAATGAACACAGATGGAGCAGGGTGAAACTTCTGACAGGCTGTTCACATAGAGGACTTGGGTCTCCCTGGAGCCCCCCTTTCATACTTAGTGTTCCTGGAAATCAGATTTCTCTGGGAAAATTCTGTTCCAAACACTAGGATGAACAGGGGTCACTAACCACACACCTCTGTCAACAGGAGTGAGTTCCACGGTCCTGACCAGGCCACCTCCCAGACTGGAGATCCTTCTTGTCCCATTGCTCCTTGCTCATTCACACAAAACTGCCTGTTCCTTGCTATGTCAAGTTTTCATGGAGCCCTTCTCACATCCGTCCTATGAGCAACTGTCCTGGAACATCCTGGCTTCTGACTGGCCCAGGAACTTACCAGCCTGTTTGAGCAGAAGCAATCCTCGCTTGGCCTCCTCTAGGGGCAGCACGAAGGATGTCTTGGCTGTGTGGAAGCAGAAGCCACATTTGTAGTTGCACTGACGAGTGAAGTGGTAGTTGACGCTAACGGGGGTTGTAGACTGTGGACTGTTCCCGTCTTCCTGGGTTTTCTGGGTCTCCTCGGGCTCAACCTGAACCTGTGGCTGTCCCTTTCCAGGATCTAGCCACCCCAATGCTATCCTCAGCCAGCAGAACAGGATGGCCAGGCCACTCCAGAGGGAACACAGCTGCTGCTGGAACAGGATCAGCAGCGGAACAGCTACAGCAGTGGGCACCAGCATCCCCATGGTGATAGGCACATACCTGCTGCTGCCTGTAAGGGTTTATAAACCGCGGACCAGCCAGCCACACCCCCTGAGCATTCGATCATTGTGTCACAAGGAGGAGGGAAACACCTCCCTTGAGTAAGTCTCAGTTGAGCAGAGTTTCTGTTTTCTGAAAATGAAAGTTGAACCAGAGCCAAGACTGAGCCTCAGGATGGAGGCCAACCCACTGCCTTTCTCTGGCTCCCGGCTGCCTCTATAACCCATGTAAACATCTGTCCTGATGACGCTGCAAAGATTCCAGCAGCCACCAGTTTCTCAAACAGGTTTCTTATAGACAGACACATAGCTGTATCCTTGAAGGCTGTTATTTTAACAAACAAACAAAAAATATGCATAATGACTTATGATAGTCTTATAATGACTATCTATGCATACTCAACAATTTTTAAATATTCTGCTCTCCTACCCCACCCACCCACCCCCACAACAAATAAACAAACAACGCAACAAAACAAACTCACCAAAACCCTGGAGTTTTGTAACTTTGTACATAGCAAATTAGTTGTATGCTGACCTTGAGAGTGCCTGGCACCACTCTCAAAGAGACTCAAGACTGGTATATTCCCAGCAAAAATGCCAGAGAAATTTGTCAAAGTAAATTTTGTATTTTAAACCTTGATTCCTTAGTAATTGGTTCTTTCTCTTTTTACATTATTAAAGGGCATACAATGTAAATATTCCTCAAACTCTTTCTTTTAAAGTTTTGCAAGTATGGTACAATAATACAGTCCTGACAGTCACATTACACAGCACATGGCTGGTGTCTTTCCTCCAGGCAAGCTCCTGTATTTCGTTAATGAGATCCCTCAGGGTAACACATCTAACTTGCTTTGCTCAGTCTCTGGACTTCTCCTCTTTTGATGTCACTGTCTTCCCTCTGACATCTTTCCCTGGGAGCTCTGGGTGCCTAAAGTTGTTTTCTTTGTGTTGGTTTTAGTTCTTCCAGTGCCGGGGGAGGGGGTAGTAGAGAAGAGTAAGCACATACTCTTCTGTCCGCCTAAGAGAAGGAAGGGACAGTGCCACAGCTAATGACTGCAAGCCAGCAGGGTTGGTAAGTGCTGTTGGAGGCACACTAAGAACCAACATTAACCTTTAAAATTCTAAATATATCCTTTAGTCAACTTTAAAGCCTCTCTAAATGGGACATTTTGCCTATTTAACATCAGATGGATACTCTGCTTCCCATTCTTCCTCCTTTTTCTCTAAGGCATCTCCTTTCTCTTGTAAATGGAGAATGCAGGTTTTGTGTCCTTTATCAAACATCTGGATATGAGAAGGGGTTCTTATTCCCTGGTTCATTTGTTAGATCTGGGGATATTTGCATAGCATGTGATGAGGGTGTCTTGGGGGCATGGTCCAAATATGAAAACGACGTTCATGTACCCTTCATCCACACCTACAGACCTGGAAATAGTTCTAGATACATTTTGAACTAAGTTTCCACCTGCAACAGTTATGTATATGGAGTTTTATTCCTGGGTGTATATATAAACTTGACTGTTCCAGATTTTGATTTGCACATATTCAACTTGAATAACCACATAGAAGCTTCTTCCTATGATGTCTTTCATGACCAGGACTCAGGGAAAGCTTGTTTGGACAGCCAGATAAAAAAGCATTTCCTGGGGCCCAGATGGCCAATACTGGCATTCTAGGTAGAGTCAGTATGCCAGAGAAATGACTGTAAACTCACATTCACTATAGTGTTCCCCCACCCCATTAGCCAAGCAGTGGATCCGTGTACAGGCTGATGAGTAAGAAAATATAATACAGGGTCTGGGAAGGTAACTCTGCTGGTAAAGCACTTGACTTGTTTTGTGCTAACACTTCCTAAGGAGTTGAAAACAAATGTCTTTTCATCTCAAAGCAGTAATGAAGGACCAACGTACAATTCCAGCAAAGTCCAATTTGGTGAGTCAGTGAGTTTACTGGACTTACAGAGCTTTGGGGATAGGCTGTTTACAAAGAAATGCACCTTGTCAAAGTCCCACCCCGTCATGGATGACGATGCATCATGCAACCCCTTCTTTCAGTTAACCTTAAACTTCCTGAATAACTAGCATTTCCCAAGATCACTTGAGTTAGTGGGAGCAGGGAGGAGTCACAGCTATATACCAAGTGGAGGTCTTGTGACATTTCCCCACTATTTTCTGCTAAGACACATCAATAGCTCTACTCTTGTTACTACAGACTTGGATATCACTAAACTGTTTTCCCAATTGGGAAACAAGAACATCTTTACTCCAAAATGGCAATGAAGTGAATCTGTTCTGCCCACAGGGGGAAAGACCATACTCTAACACCTTACAAACGGGGGAGCCTGAGTTTGATTCCTGGAACCTATGTTTGGTATCACCTGATTGTAATCCCAGCACTGGGGATGTGGAGACAGCAGATTCTAGGTCATGCTAATGGATTTTGCTTGGCAAGCTCCAGGGGATCTGCCTGCCTTTGCCTTCCCTTTTGCTAGGACAATAGGCACATTCAGTCATATCTGTGTTTTTATGTGGGTGCTAGAGATCTGAACTCAGGATCTGAACTCAGCATCAAGATGCTTCATGGCGATTCTTTACCAACTGAGCCATACCCTCTGGCCTAATTTTCACACTTTCTTGGGACGTATAACAGACTCCTGAATTAGACGGTGCTAGATCTCTCTTTTATCAGAATGTTGTTTATATATGTTTGTGAAAAGTGAAAAAAAATCTGGCGGCTGATTCTTGGGTGAGGTTCTGTACTCAGGATCTGGGTGATTCTGCTGAAGCACTGTACTCACTCAGGTGCTGGGTGATGCTACTGAGGTACTGTGCTCAGGTGCTGGGTGATGCTACTGAGGTACTATGCTCAGGGGCTGGGTGCTTCTACTGAGGTACTGTGCACAGGGGCTGAGTGATCCAGAAGTACTCTGCACAGGGACTAGGTGTTCCAGAGGTACTGTACACAGGGACTAGGTGATCCAGAGGTACTGTGGACAGGGACTGAGTGCTGTTGCTTAGGTACTGTGCTCAGAGGTTGGATGATGCAAATGTATTGTGCAAAAGAACTGCACGGTACTGCACTGCGAACTTCTATTTTCATCAGTAAACATGTCATCTTTGTGAAGGGGGAAAACACTCATTTTCCTGAAGCAACAGAACACTGCCAAGCCTGAGCCATTGTTGTGGATGGAAACAGAAACCTCTGCTATTTTTGTACTAGGGAACCGAAAGTAAACTCTACAGCAAGTCCTATTGTTTAATGAGGTCATTTATGCCAGAGTTATCTGACTCAAGCCCTTGAAACTGGAGGAAATAAAGGTGTTGCAATCTCTGGCACAACTTGAGAAATGCCTTTTGAAAGGTCACATGGTTCTGTTGTCAATCTTTAGTGCGATAGACAATATTTCTGTGGTATGTTCCAGCTGAGTTGGAATCACAAATTTAGGGAGTGGATTTAGTTACCCGCGTGAGATTTATTTTTAAGTGTGTCATTCATTCCTGTATTCGGGCATGCTTTTCTCAAGCCATCTTCCTCTTCTTTGAGGCTTATTGATTGAGATGAGCATGTGATGCTGTCATGTACAAACTTCATCTAGTGGGAATGCAATAGAAATATGATTGTTGTCTTCGTTGTCAAGTTGACTAGATGTAGTATGATGCTTGGGAACATCTGCTTTCTGTGTTTGGGCAGAAAGTTGCATCTCAGCTCTATACCTAGGCCTTCATCTGCCTGACCATGTGTTAGATCTGGAAAACATGGGTAGCCAAGCCTAACTCACACATGGCATCTTGATATCAGGGGGCCTGGTGCAGGTTAAGCACCGAGGGCAGAGCTAGCCATGGCAGAGTGAGGAATGTCTACTCTGTCCAGAGCCTGGCCCTGTGTTGCAGTTTGCTTGCTGATTCACAGTACAGCTTAGGCACTTACCTCGCTCAGGGAGCAAGATCTCAGTCAGGGTTTAAACACTGGCTACACTGCTTCAGAACTGACTGTCATTATAGCATTACTTATCTTCTCAGTAAGAGTCCTCTGTGCAGGTTGATTCCTTAAATCATTCATGATTCATTCATTGATTTGATTAATTAATTAATTAATTCAGGTACTCAGGCAAGCTTTCAGTTTCCCATTTTTCTTCTCTTCAATGTGCATTGATTGAGATTCCTGTATAAAATTGTCATATAAAAATGACAACAATTGTGAGTAAAATATAAATATAATAGTTATCCTCATTGTCAACTTGACTAGATTTAGTACCACGATGGAAACATCTCTGTGTTTGCATTTTCAGACGTTGTTAGGGAGTTTAACTGAGGAGGGAAGACCTCTGAATGTGAGTGGCACCTGTAGGCTGTGGGCCCAGACTGACTAACACCGGGAGGAGGAGTTGACACTGGGAGGAGGAGCTAACACTGGGAGTCCTCTTTTTCTGCTTCCTGACTGTGGACACAATGTGACCAGCCCCTCATGCTCCTGTCTCCGAGCCTTCCCCACCATCTCGCATCATGCCCTGAGGGAAAAGGAATTCTTTTCCCCTTAAGTTGGTGCATGCCAGGGACTTGACCACAACAATCTGGAAAAGTAACTCATAGAAGTGAGGAAGTGACAGCCCTGCTGCCCAGTGTTCCTGAGGCAGGCTTGGCAATCCTAACTCCTTTCCCAGCACAGAATAGGGATCAGGGAAGTTAAGATTCTGTTTCCCTGTAATCCAGGGAGTTCATTTTGTTGTGGAGGTTAGAGGACAGCCTTGGGGGTTGCTCCTTGCCTTATACCTTGTTTAAACAGGGTCTTCTGTTGTTTCACTGTGTATATAGGTTAGTATGTTCATAATTTTCGGGGCTCCTTTGGTCTTTGTCTCCCATTGTCTTTAGAATTGCTGGGGTAACACACACACACACGCACACGCACACACACCACCCATTGGACCTCTCCACATCTCAGACTTTCTATAGAACTTATGTAAGCATTTGCCTTAAGCTACAATACAATATA